ACTAATATATGAAAGATACACAATATCTAAACCTCCAAATTGAAAATTTGGTATTACCTTAAACTACATATACACTCTTACTACATTAAATCTTAAATCTAATACTTAGAAGGTATTTATTTTCATATTAAACTATATAATACCCTTAATTAGAGCCTTCCAAGCTATGCATACAATCAAAATGTATAAATTTTTATTAAATTACTAATTATATTCATATACCTAATAATTTTCCTTTCGTACTACTACTAAAATAACTATAAGAAAAAATCCAAACTAAGTTGCCCCGTTCTAAACCCAACTCACGTACACTATTAAATGGTGAACAAACATAAATTAAATTTTACTGCAAATTTAAATAAAGTACAAGTCGACATCGAGGTCGTAAGCCTACCAATTAATATGAATCTTTCCTGGTAGATTGCGCTGTTATCCCTAGGGTTACTTTTATGATGTGGCTATTTCAGCTCACATCACAATATTAAATTCCATTCAACATGACCAATAATCTATTAGTTAATACATTAATACCAAATAAAATATTACTGCCCCAGTAAAAATATATTAGCCATATACATAAATCATAATGGCTTAATATTAAAGTACCTAGGGTCTTTTTTTCTTTATTAAAATAGACAGAATTTTCACTGCCGTTTGAATTTTCACTTAACTTAATAAAAAAGCAGGTGACTGTTTCTTCTTCACAAGACTACAATTAATAGACAATATTATGCTACATTAAACCTAATGGCGCCGTTAAACATACTATTCACTGAGCAGAAGCTGCCTAATATTAGAGAACACACATAACTCATTAAACTAGGTTTTTAGTTAACCTCCAATCACTTTATTTGCCGAATTCTTAATTAAGTAATTATATTTGTATTGAAAATTATTTTATCTATACGTAATTTTCATAATATTAACACATATACTCATCCTATAATTTTGTATTATCCCTTTAATAGCTCATAAATTTAGTAAATATTTCATTAAATAAATATAACAGAATTGAACTATGTTTTTTACTCCTTTAGAGGTGACCCCTAAAGGAAGCTCTTAGAAACCTAATCCGGGAAAATCTATATTTATATACATAAACGATTATATTATTAACTCCATAGACGCTTCATAATTATTATAACAATTATAAGAATGGCGACTATATATCTTATGTTTTTGAGGGACCTCAACAAGATAAACAATTCTACAGGTCATTATACTAAAGGTAATATAAATATATATCTTCATCATGATTAATGTCCAAGTAATCTCTTAGTTTTTTTTTGGGTTTTTATTGTCACTCGAATATTAATTCTAAAGAACACAATTCATCCATGCCCTCTTTCTAGAAGGCATACCTTGTTACGCCTTATAATAATTTTCAAAATTAGTGGCGGGCGGTAAGTACTCCCCTACAATTTATTCAATAAGATATATCTCTGCATATATATTCCTCAACTTATTTACTTTTAAATCCTCTTTTGAAAATAACTTAATAAATTAAAAATATTTTTATAATTGTAACTCATCCAATTATAATTTTTTGGCATGGGATCTGAAATTTCAAACTAAATAATTGTTACAAGTTTAAACGAACATACACTCAAAATAAAATTATCAAAAACTATCGGGGATTATCGATCAAAACCAACAAGTTCCTCTAATTTAAAAGGGACCGCCTAATTTTTTTAAATTCATAAACATATAATATTAATTTATATATACTTAATAGTCGGGTACCTAATCCGATTCTATAAATGGGTGTGATTTTTATTGCCTTTTGGGTTTTTATTTTACCATAGTCCCAAAATAATAATATTTATTTAATTACACAAATAAAATTTAAGTAGAGGTATAACCGTGATTACTGGCACCCCATTTACCACTTACATTAGACCGCAACGTACTAATATATTAATACTAGGATTATCAAAATAGAGATAAATAAATTATTTCCTAATTCTTTTATTTTTACTACTGAAGAAATAAATAATACTACTAACATAACTTTTATATATCACAAAATAAATGATTACTCTTTTATAACTTAAAAAACAGGCAACATCAAAGTATAATATACTACTAAATTAAATATAAACATTAAATTCATATACTCACGAGAATTAAACTCCCTTAAAATCATACCACTAAATCCACCTTTTATGACCTTAGAAACAAAATAAAATATTACTGCCCCAGTGAATACCATAGTCAATAATAACATAATTCCCAAGGAATACCCATAACTAAAGATCCTTGCATAGCAGGCCAACTCCCTAAAGAAATTAAAAAAGGGGGGTATCCCTATATTCACTAAAATAACCACTAAAAAAATTCACATAAACATAACCGACAAATTATCGGAACCCATAACTCCCATCATACTACGAGACTTTAATTTTTCATATAACATGTTAGCAGAAAAAAATATCATCGGGGAAATAATCCCGTGGCCAATAAACAAAACCAAACACCCCACTAACCCGTATATTCTAAATACTATCAACCTAACAACAGCAATACACATATGACTGATGGAACTAAAAGCAATAAACGACTTAATATCGACCATCCGAGAACATAACAATACAGGAATCAATATCCCGATAACAACAATAATTAACAACATAAGAAAAACTGCCCCATAAGAAAAACTAGTCAAACTAAAAAATCGAACTAACCCGTAACCCCTTATCTTTAATAACAACCTAGCCAAAATCATAGAACCTCCCACAGGCGCCTCCACATGCGCCTTTGGCAATCACGAATGTAAAGAATAAATAGGCAACTTACAAAGAAAACCTATAATTAACAATAAACCAACCAAATTAGGAATATAAAAACCTAACTCACCCCGAAAAAAAAAAGAATAATAACCTAAATAAACTTTTATACAATATAAAGAAAATAATAATAATGGAATTGACCTCACAACCGTATACATAAATATATAATAATTAGCGATAATTCGCTCTGACTGGGCACCCCATTTACTAATAAGTAATAATATTGGAACCAAAACCATTTCAAAGAATAAAAAAAAAAGTAACACATTAAAAACCGAGAAAAAAAGAATCAAAATTAAAAAAATACTAATATTAATAACCATAAAAAAAGACAAATTTGAATTTACATGACTATATCTGCTAATTATTGACGCCACCATAATAAAAAAAGAAACATGAACCATAAAAAAAGACAAAAAATCCAAACTAAAGGGATAATAATGCCCTACCGAATTATTTAAGTCCGACCTAAAACATTTCAAAAAATAAAGAAAGGAGGACATCAACAAATATAAAAATCTTCAAAATTGATTTTTGTTAGTGTGAATGATAGTTCTTATAAGTAGTAAAAAAAAAATAAAATAAAACACCTCAAAAATACACCATAAACACATACATTACTCTAAGCCCCAAGCTTAGTATTTTCAATAAACTAATTTTTGGCCATACTTATTTTATTATACTGTATCCGACAAAAAAGTAAAAACATAAATTAAATAGAAAAACAAAAAAATCATAAAATAAGAAAAATATATATAAAAGTTAATATGTGGCACTTGGTAATTCATTTAAAGTCTCTCATCTATATATAAAGACAACAATAAATTATAAACATAAGACTGAATCATAGCTACCCTAATCTCTATCAACATCAAAGCCAATAAAAACCCAAAAGGCAATAAAAATCACACCCCGGAAAAAAAGACTCCTCCCCTAACTAAAGATAAAAGCAGGTGACCTGCAGTAATATTGGCCATTAAACGTACCCCTAAGGCAATTGGCCGACACAATCAGCTTAATACTTCCACCCAAACAAGAAACACACTCAAAACTATAGGACTCCTTAAAGGAAGCATATGAGAAACACACCTCAATAGATTCTTAGACAAACAATATACATACCTCCCCGATCACAAAATAACTGCCATTCTCATTGTTAAAAAGGGCAAACTACTTAAGGGAAATATTCTGGGAACAAGACCATACAAATTAAATAAAAGAATTAAAAAAAATATCCTTATTATAAATAATAATCCAGGATAATACTTACCAGAAGAAAAATGTCCAACAATTTCTGACAATTGGAACTTATTATTAAAACTAGTAATATACTTACTACTTATAAGAACTATCATTCACACTAACAAAAGACCCACTGGAGTAAAAAAAAATAAAGAAGACTCAAAATTTAAAAACAACCTAATGACAAAGGGAAACACCCTTTCATAAACCCAAAAAATTTACGCTTCACATTACCTAAAAGCTTTTATCACACTACCGCCGCTTAGGATATTATAATGGACCTTCACTCTCTTGTCTTTTTGTATTCCACAAATACACGTTTTTCCATAAACTACATTACACTAGCTCCGCTCCTTCTAACCCGACACCTAAGTGCCCCAACCTACAGCTCACAGATACGGAATACAATATCATTTTTGAAAAATAAATTCAATGGTTTTTATTAACCTACAGCATCAATCAAAATTATTTGAGAATTAAACTCAAATCCAATGTGCTTAGCAAACACTCAGAATAACCATATTAACTTTATCTAATAAAGAGACACTACGCGCCTTTTTAAGCATTTTCAATACTTTATAATAATATATATTACTTTATTAATATATGAAAGAAATCAAGATTTCATAATTACCTTATCAAAATAACCCATTACATCTGGCATTTCATACATTACATCTTACCTTCTTCACATGTAAACAAAAGTATAAAGAAAAATTCAAACTACATCAACAAAATGCCAATATCAAATTGCACATTCATACCTAACATGATGATCACTAATAATATGACCTATTCATATACGAACTAAACATACTCCTAAAAAAACACTCCTAACAAATACATGGAACCCATGGAATCCCGTGGCCATAAAGAAAATACTCCTGTAAACTGAGTCAGCAATAGTAAAAGCAGTCTGAAAATACTCAAATACCTGCAATATAGTAAAAAATACACCTAAAAATAAAGTAATAATAAGCCTAGCCAGTCCGTCGGACAATTGTCCACTAACCACACTATAATGAGAATAAGTCACACTTACTCTGCTACTTAAAAGAACAACGGTATTTAATAATGGGACGGCTAACGGGTCTAAAGCCTCCAACATAAAGGGCGGCCATGCCATCCTAATTTCTACGGTCCTAACTAAACCTGAATGAAAAAATGTCCAAAAAAACCCAAAAAAAAATAAAACCTCAGAAGTAATAAATAAGATTATCCCGATACGTAATCCTTTTATTACTATTAATACATGGAATCTCAAAATGGTCGACTCCCGAACTACATCCCGTCACCACATAAATATTACACCCACAATAATTAACAATCTGAAATACAAGTTTCTGATTGTACCTAAATGAAACCAAATTACTAACCTAAAAGCAGTAAATATTGCACCAAAAGAACTAACAATTGGCCAAGGAGACGAATCTACTAAATGAAATGGATTTATACGAAACAACTAATTTAAACCAGGGCAGCAGTAAACTACCATAATAAAATTTACAATTTTACACATTCTCTTCTGTCACTAATTTAATTAAAATCCTTTTTAGGAACTCTATCTCGTAATAATAGTGTTATAGTTTAACTAATTTTAATTTCATAAACTACCCCCCACAAAGATATTTTTTGTTTTGAAGACAAAAAGTTTAATTAACCTAAGTCTACCCTACTTAGAATTCTATATGGACAAGACCTAACAATTAACAGTTGTTTATACTTTATTATACTAAATCTAACTCACTATCAACCTACCACCCCTAAATATAATTCATAAATAAAAATCAACAATAAAATTATAATAAATAAAACACTTACGTATACGGAAGCACCACTCAGGGCCACAGCGAAAATTACCGGTAAAAATAAACAAATTTCCAAATCAAACAATATAAAAGACAATCCAATAATAAAGTACTGCAAAGAAAACCTGTACTTAAAATAATAAAGCTCAAACCCACATTCATAGTAAACAAGCTCCTTATTAAAAACCAATACATCCTCCTTGGGGGCCAACAAGCTCTTATTTCCAAAATAATACAACAAAAAAACAATCCTGGTCCCCACCAATAAATAAAAATTCCTTAGGAGGAAAGTAATAAAAAAAAGAATAATAACTCAAAACAAATTTCTTTTAATTAATAATAAACAAGAAAACAACAAAAATAATCCCCGTAAATAAATAAATATACTTTGAATTAATTAATGTGTATTTTTTTAAAAACATAGAAAATAATAACTCCATAAAAAAATAATCAACCAGTAACCAAAACCAACTAAACACATCAATCAATGTGGAAATTTTCTTAAAGAGGGCGGGGTTATAGAATAACATATATTTCCTAATATATAATATATGAAAGTTAGGGCGGATTATAGCCAAAATTACAATCACTGCAGAAAACAAAATAAATAAAATGGGCTTAAGTTTATCCCCTAAAAATACTAAAAATTCCACATTAGGACCGTAAAAGTAAAACAACAAAAGCCCTGAAACTAAAGACAAAACCAGTAAACGAACATAATAATATCTTATTACTATGTTTTCTATCCTATTATTTTTTGTTAAGTTCAAATATAAATGCCTTAACATATAAAAAATAATTCGAAGAGAGTAAATACAAGTCGTCATAAGACCTAAAAACAATAAAATTATTAATATGACATTAAAGAAAGTTACACTAGTATAATCCACTATAATATCCTTCATATAAAAGGCCGACATAAAGGGAAATCCCATCATTACAAAACTCCCAAAAGCAAAAAAATAAGTAAAAGACTCATTAATAAAAGTAGTCATTTTCATAATCCGAAAATCTTGCACCGAATTTACCCCGTGAATAAAGGCACCACTAATAAGAAACAGTATAGCCTTAAAAAAAGCATGGATACAAACATACAATAAACAAATTTGTTTTAGCCCTAACCCAATTAAAACAAATATAAACCTCAATTGGCTAGTAGTACTATAAGCCACAATCTTCTTAAAATCAAACTGAGAAACACTAAATAGGCCGCCTATTAATATAGTCAAAGCCCTAACATACGTAATAAGATAAGAAAACATATAAAAATCAGACAACCGCAACAACAAATACACCCTTGCTACCACCATAGTAGAACTATGTAATAAAGAAGAAACCGGGGTTGGGCCCTCTATAGCGTTAGGTAACCAAGGATGAAAAAAAATTTGAGAAGACTTAGCTATAACACCAAACAACAAAAAAACTATAAATAGGTTTTTACCCACATACCTATTTATTACCGGCCCAAAGCCATAAACAAGCCTCGTAAAAATAATCAATAAAAGCCCAAAATCACCGATACGATTAAAAAGCACAGCTTGTATCCCTATGTTCACTGCTAAATAACGCATAGATCACCAGGAAATTAACAAATAGGATATAACTCTAACTCCCTCTCAACCAATTAGTAATATCAAAAAATTTCTGGACATTACTAATACCACCATAAAAAAAATAAACATCAATAACAAAAAGACAAAATTATATATGTATATTTCTGAATTCATGTAATTTTCACTAAATAAAATAATAGACCAGGAGACAATCCAAATAATTAAAGTAAATAACACACTTTGAACATCCAACACCAACCTAAACCCACTCCTAAAAACAAAATAAGACCAAATATTTAATCCAACAGTAAAACTCATCCCCTTCAACACAAAAGACAACAAAATAAAAAACATTAATACTAAATTAATCTTATATATAAACTTAACATACTTACTATTAAACCTACTTCATAAAAAATAAAAATAAAATAATATCAGAGGAAATTGTAAAAAGTAAAAAAGTAATAAAAACAACACCAATATAATAGAGAATTACTTTCCTCGTAAAATGATCTTAGAACATTCGCGTACACTCCGCCATATTATACCCACTACAAAAATATCAAAAACATGACTGAGGTAGAGAACATCAACACCCTAGTGATACCACCCAAATAAGAATTTGAAGTGGATGCATCCAAACTAGACAGCCCATTGTAATTATAAGATACCCTTAAAATTAATAAAAGCAACCGCATATAAAAAATCAAATTCCTTAAATAACACAATAAAAACACAAAGACCATAAATAAGTTTATTTTCAAAACTTCATAGAGAATTATCAACTTCCACATAAATATAAAGAAGGGGGGTATCCTCGACAAAACAAAAATCATTAGAATAAAAAAACCTTTTCGTAACCTATTTGCTTGAATCTCAAATAAATTATTCAAGTAAACTTCTTGGTTTTTTCCAAAACTTCTTATAAACAGAACTATCACTGAGTAATAAAAAAAAAAATATAATAAAAAAAAAATGGGCCTACCTGGTATTAAAAGTAAATAAAACCTCAAATAAGAAATACTAGAAAAAGCTACTACCAAACGTAAATCATTATACATAACCCCGTTAAAGGAGCTTACTAAAACTATCACTACAGACAACAAAACCATAGCCCTAATTACCGAATTGGATACCCTAATCTCTATCAATAAAATAATAGGAATTAATTTAGGCAAAAACAAAATTACCATACATTGCATGAGATTCAAAGAAAGAAACAAATAATATACTTGGTAATAAAAAGGATAAATCCTTAATTTAATAAATAATCCTAATAGAATAAGATAAAAAGAGTAATTAGACAACAACACACTAAAAGAATATAAATTCCTCATAAAAAGACACTCAACTAAAACTCCTACCAAAACCATAATCCTAGCTAAGACATTAAGAACCATATAGTTAAACAACATTAGTAAATTATGCATATTACTATTATATATTACTAATAAATATAATACAGTGAATAATATTATCTCCATAATAACTCACAAATATAAACCGTTAAGTGAAAATAATATCAACCTCACAAATACAATAATTAAAAACAACCTATAAATACACCTAGAATATTCTAGAATTTTTAACCCCGAAAATTAATATTTTTTTTTAAATTATGCACTATTAACTTTTATTACTTCTCATAAAAGAATAACAATTCTAAACAAATATATAACAAAAATCCTAATAAACAAGCAGCAACAAATATATAACAATATATAACACTATACACACTAAAAAGATTAAAAAGAGAATGACTCTCATAAACAAACGGTAACCTATCAATAATTAGGATTATCAGAATAAACCTACTATAAGAAAGACCCTTAGCGGTTTTTTCCGAAATTCTTACCATAGTAAGAACATACAATATAAATAATAACAATCCTCCTACATATACTAATATAAATAATAGACTAAAAAACATATTAAAATAAATACACATAACCAAAGAAATCAATACACTATATAAAATTAATCTAAAGATTACATGGCTATATTTATTCCTTTTTAAGACAACAATGACACTAAAAGCCATAATAACCAAAAAAAATATAAATCCGTTTAACCTAAAAAAAACAGACATTACTTACTTAATATAAAAACTGGCCCTTCTATCCACGTGTGGTTGGCGGGAGGAGTTCTATGAGCCCACTCCAGATTAAAATCTCTTCCATTTGCGAAGAAAACCTCCGACTTAGAAGAAAAAGACAACCAAATAATTATTATAAATATCACTACCCTAAAAATACTTATTATACTACCAATAGAGGAAATTACATTCCACATTAAATAAAAATCAGGATAGTCATTATAACGACGAGGCATTCCAGCTAAACCTAAAAAATGCTGAGGAAAAAAAGTTAAATTAACCCCAACAAATATAATCCAATACTGGATAATTGACAACTCCTTATGGAGAATTAATCCAGTAAAAAGAGTATACCAATGAGTAAAACCAGCAAAAATTGCAAAAACAGCTCCCATCGAAAGAACATAATGGAAATGAGCAACCACATAATAAGTATCATGTATTACTAAATCCAAACTACAGTTAGATAATACAATACCTGTCAATCTCCTAAAAGTGAATAAAAACAAAAACCTGAACACCCAATATATAGGGGTATGTCAAACAATTTTGGCCCCTAATAATGTACTCAATCAAGAAAAAACCTTAATACCCGTAGGAACAGCAATAACTATTGTGGCGGCGGTAAAATATGCCCGAGAGTCAATATCTATCCTAACGGTAAACATATGATGCGCTCACACTAAAAACCCCAAAAACCTAATCCTAATAACAGCCCACACTATCCTATAAAACCCAAACACCAACTCTTTATTAGTATAAAAAGTAATTACATGACTGATTATCCTAAACCCAGGAAGAATTAAAATATAAACTTCAGGATGCCTAAAAAATCAAAATAAATGTTGATACAAAACGGGGTCACCCCCTCCGACCGGATCAAAAAAAGAAGTATTTAAATTACGATCAAATAATAGCATAGTAATAGCTGCAGCCAATACCGGCAAACTAAGTAATAACAATAATGTAGTCACTAATACAGTCCAACAAAATAATGGCATAGAAAATATTACTCATCTTTTTGTCTTTATATTAAATATAGTAGTTATAAAATTAAGAGATCTTAAAATACTGGAGATCCCCGCCAAATGTAAAGAAAAAATAGCACAATCAAGAGCACCTCTTGAATGGGCCAAGTTCCTAGCTAAAGGAGGGTACACAGTCCACCTAGTTCCTACTCCACTCTCAATAAAGGAGCTTACTAATAAAAGGACTACCGCCGGAGGCAATAACCAAAAACTCATATTATTTAGACGTGGAAAAGCTATGTCCGGACTTCCCAACATCAAAGGTAACAATCAATTCCTAAATCTTCTAATTATTACCGGCATAACAAAAAAAAAAATCATTACGAAGGCATGGGCCGTAACAATTACATTATATAACTGCCTGTCACCAATAACTTGTCCGACTTGTGACAGCTCCGTCCGAATAAGAACACTTATTCTTGACCTAATAAACCCAGAAAAAATTCTAAAAATAAAATACAATGTCCCAATATCTTTATGATTTGTGGATATCAATCATCGAATAGTTCAACTCATAACCAAAGGACACATTAGTGCTATCTTGATGACCTAAACATCATAGATTTTATTATCCTACATTGGCACATCACTATTTAAACCAAGATCACCGATCATATCAGGACTATGAATCCCACAACTTAACAACTAACGCACATTCCTTAGGGATAGTTTCATATAGTTTATTGGCTTATGCCAGGATTACATCCATCTTTTAGTTTCAAACTAAAAATTTTATTAGTTAAACTATAACATCAATTAAGTTTTTAACCTTCAGATTAATTATCACACTGCAAATATGATTGTTTTTATTAAACTAAAAACTTAGAAAAAGGACAAAAGGAGGGAAAGGCCGAAAGGGAATGCCTCATAATTTTACAAACTCCTCATTATCCTATGTTTTGCAGACATATATTTTAAATGTAAACTACAATTTCGGTTTCTTTATAAGATTCCTATGACTAGTAGACACAAAAAATAAATAACAGAAGAAACTTGAGCTATAAAAATATAGGGATCCTCCACAGGAGACCTACCTAACCAAGTTAAAACAAAAAAATTAATAGAAAAAATTCAAAAGACAATCATATATCCTATTTGTTTTCCTTTAATATAAGTATTATTAACCACAACATTAATAATACTTAATAAATAAAGCATTAAAATAGACATTACTAATCCCACAACCCCCAGTGTTTTATTAGGAATACAACGTAAAATAGCATAAGCAAACAAAAAATATCACTCTGGCTTAATATGGACAGGGGTCACCATAGGATTAGCCTTAATAAAATTATCGGGGTCACTAAATACCTGCGGAAAAAAAAACACAATTAAGAAAAACAAAGTAAATATAACTAAAAATCATAATAAATCCTTTAAACCACTATAAGGCCAAAAGTTCACTTTTAACGAGTTAGAGTTCAATATAATCGGATTGGAACTGCCCGTACGATGCAAAAACAACAAATGAATAACCGAAAAAACCACAATAATAAAAGGTAGAATGAAATGAAAAGTATAAAATCGACTCAAAGTGGGGTGGCCAACTGAAAACCTACCCCAAATCCAATTAACAATATCCACCCCATAAAAAGGGATTACACTCAAAAAATTAGTAATCACAGTTGCCCCTCAAAAACTCATTTGTCTTCAAGGTAAAACATACCTAAGAAAAGAAGTAATCATACTTAAAATTAATAAAATTACTCTCACCCCCCAAGTATGGATATTTATAAAAGATTTATAATAAAGCCCTCGGCCTAAATGCATAAAAATACAAAACAAAAAAAAACTAGCTCTATTCATATGAATAGAACGAACACACCACCCAAAAAATACATCCCGATGGATATGAACAATAGAATTAAAGGCATAACTAGCATCTGCACAATAATGCATAGACAAAAATAACCCAGTAACTAATTGTATAATCAAAACCACGCCAGTCATGCTACCTCACCCCCACAAATAACTAATATTCACTGGGGCGGGCAAATAAGAAAAAGACCTAAGAAATAACTTCAATAATTCATTTTTACGTAACACCATAATCTATATAACCTCAACTATACCAGATAATTGGAAATTACCTATACTCTTTATACTAATAGATTACTATTTCATAAGAATCCCCGAAGACAAAGTATTTATATTAAGAAACAAAGAAATTCCCAAGACTGCCTCACAAGTAGAAATTATCAGCAATACCACCCTAAACCAAGAATTATTTATCATTATAATCAAAATAAAAATCACTATTATAAATAGAACCTCAAACAAAACCAAAATATAATACATCTCCGTCTTATAAAAAAATAAGAATACAAATAAATAAATTATCAAAAAAATAAAAAAAAACAACATATTAGAATATTAGAAAATAAATCATCATTAAAAAAATAAAAGGCAAACATACCTTCCACGTCAAATTAATCAAATCACTGAACTTAAGTCGAGGTAAAAACCCCCGAATAACCACAGTAAATAAAACATACAGAAGTATTAAGCTGATTGTGTCGGCCAATTGATGGCCAAAAATAACACCAAATAACACTGCCATTAGCCAAATATTTGCATACTCTGACAAAAACAACAATGTAAAATTATACCTCAGATATTCAGTATTAAACCTTGACACTAATTCGGACTCCCTTTCAACCAAATCAAAGGGGGACCGATTTAATTCTGCTATAGTTATAATTATCCAAATAAAAACTAAAAATAAAGAAAAATTAACCCCATTAAAATTTTCACAATCCAGAAAATTAAATCAACTAAAATTTTGAAAAGAAAATATGAACATTATCACAAAAAAAAAAAAAATTACTTCGTAAGAAATCATTTGAGCAATGGAGCGAATTGACCTCACAACCCTATAACTATTAACCGACTGTCAACCACATCCCAAAGTCACATAAACCATTAACCCAGAAATAATAAAAGTAAATAAAATCGAATAATCCACTCAAACTAATAAAAAAGGCAAGGGAACAAAGACCCACTGGAGTAAACTCATAATCATCCCATAAATGGGGATTAAAACAAAAAAAAATCTAGAATATAATATAGTATTTTTAGAAAGCAACTTAAGCCCATCATAAACAGTTTGCACCAACCTAAAGATTCCCACCACGTTAGGACCTTTTCGTTCTTGAATAAAACCCAGTAATTTTCGCTCATAAAGAACTAAAAAAGCCACAAGCAGCAAAACCATAAAAATAATAACTACGTAATTCAAAAAAAAGACAAGACCCAATAAAACTAAAAATTGTAACAGCATAATATTATAGTATTCAATTAGCATAATTGTTCATTACATTGACAATATAATAGATTAATATATCCTAAATACTATCTAATAAAATACATGGTACCTATTTTCTGACTACAAAACAGATATTTTTATTTAAATTATATTAGAAATTAATAAGATACCAAAAAATTACTTCAATTAATAAACTCCACATTAATAGGCATAAAACTATGATTTACCCTACAAATTTCACTACACTGCCTGTAAACCACCCTTGGACGCATAGACATAAGATTTATGAAATTCAAACGGCCTGGACAGGCATCTACTTTTATTCCTATTGAAGGTAATGCTCAAGAATGAAGAACATCCGAAGATGTTACTAATATCCGAATACTAGTTAACATAGGCAAAATTAAAGAATTATCAACTTCTAATGTACGATATCCTCTCACAGGCAAATCATTAAGTTGCACTATATAACTATCAATGCTGACCTCACCCCCAAATTCATGTATCTCATAACTTCAATATCATTGGTGGCCAATTACTTTTACGGTTAAATCACACGAATTCCCTCTCTCTATATAATATATTAAATATAGAGAGGGAATTCTAAGTGAAAAAAGAAAAAACGCTGGAACTACTGTCCACACAAACTCAAGTATATCCGAAAATATATATTTATTAACTAAATACTTTCCGGTCAAAACCATACCTCCTATAATTAACAAAAATCCCACTAAAATTAATAACAACAATGCTATACTATAGTCATTAAATAAAGTACACTCAATCCTAATTAAATTATATATGTCTTGCAATAAAATCCTGTTAAATGTTGTCAT